TTCTTCTTCTTCTTCTTCTTCTTCTTCTTCTTCTTCTTCTTCTTCTTCTTCTTTTTCTTCTTTCATCTTCTTCTTTCATCTTCTTCTTCCTCATGTGTCTAGTCTTGAGCAGACATTAACACATTAACGATCACGGTACCCCATTCCCTTCTGTTGCCTGTCTTGTTGATCAGCTCAGTTTTTCTCTTTATGATATTCGACGTAAAGTTGTTCAAGCCATCTGTGTATGTCTTTATCTTCCTCTGCTCCTCTTTCCCTCTTTCCGCACAGCAGCAGATGTATTTTTGTGTGACCAAAGAATGTCAGTTGTCTTTTTCTGATGATTCTGATTATAGATCTTTCGCAAACTGCCATTTGGAGCACTCCTCTATTTGTTTTCCTCCCAGTCCATGAGATTCTGGATATTTTTGGGGGAGGGGAAGCCCTGAAAGTTGAAAGTCCTGATTGGGTTTTAAATTATGGGTTTTGATATGTAGGCATTTTTCTGGCTTCTTCAGCCTCTCTTATAGTTATAATTTCATGGCATAAGTGCCCTTTAAAGCCTTATTTTTGGCACATATCAGGCATGTTAGTCACCACCATGTGGCACGAGGTGGTGGAATCGGGGGCTCGTCAATTTTTGGGCATATGGGGTTATTGGTATTATCTTAAAGCCTGTTCATTTGCCTTGCTTTTGGTGAAAAAATATCCATCTATGTTGAATAGAAGTCGAGAGATTTGCGACTGAAGGAGGAGAGGATTGCCTGGTTTCAGAGGTAAAATTAATGAGAAAATGGCCTCCAAAGTATGGTAACTTCCATAGCTTGACAGTCCTTGGAAACTGAAAATTTACATTTTTTGTGTTTCAGTGTTTCAATGTTTTTCAGTAAAATCCACGCTGAACTGTGTTTTTAAATAGTATAGACATAAAAGGTGTTGAGCCAAAAAAAGAAAATTAGAAAAAAATTGCATGATTGCCAGAAAAATGCCGGTTTCTTCAAATTCATTATTTTGACGAGCACCTGATTTCATCACAATGCCTCACATATCCTCATAAAGTCTTTCTTCTTTTTGTTCCATATTGACACTGGGGTGGTAAAATATTTGCAATTACGTTTTATTACACTATATACTATGTCTCCATAGGGACTAACAAAATTATGTCAAAAGTACCTTTCAATCTTTTACTCAAACAAACAAATTTCACAGCAGGACAATGATTCTCCTTGTGTGTTGTCTCCAGAACCAGTACGAGCACCACAAAATGGTTCGCGCTGCCCAGGGAGTGAAGATCATTGCCAAGGACCTGGAGAAAGCTCTCGCTGGCCTGCCATTTTATGTGGCCCATGATACCGACGAGAAGGAGTACTACAGGGTTGGTCATTCGTTTTATTTTATGGCTTTTATTGTTGCTCTCTTTCCTGGCCTAAATTAAGTGTAAGATCGGCATTTACAGCTCTTTTTGTCCTGTCTTATTTCTCTCTGTCTCTCGTTGTCATTCCCCCCATCTCTTCCCCCCATCCCAGATATTTCTTTTGTTTGATTTTTATTTCATTGATTGTCTCTTTGCCCAGCTTCAAACTATTTCCCCAGATTGTTTCATTTGCGCAGGGCACTTTTTTACTTTAAAATACATTTTTAAAGATGTTTTTTAGTACGAGGTTTATTGCATAGTCCCCCAAAATGTGTTAGAAAATGGGTTTTCCGAGTAAACACCTCGGAGCAGGTAGATGACCTGGCGAAGAAATTCTTATCCCTTCTGTTTGGATCAATGACGGTCACTCTTCCACAGACTGACTTTAAAAATAAAGTAAAAAAGTACACCTCCAGTCTGTGGGAGAGCCATTGGAAAAAACAAACTAATAACAAACTGCACCAAATGAAACGCAAACTGGGACCGCGAAATCCTTCGGGCCTCTCCAGAAGAGACGAAGTTATTTTTACTCGATTATGCATCAGACACACGGCCCTAACATACTAATACTTCTTTCAGGGAGAAGAGAAGCCGTTCTGTGTCGGATGCGACACAGATTTTACCATTAGACACATTTTAACCGAATGTCTAGACTTCGGAGGGACCCGAAGGAGATACTTAAAATGCAAAAAATTGCAAGACATTTTTTCCGTTGTTGTTCCCAACAGAATTTTGGATTTTATGAAGGCCATTGGCCTTTATGGGAAATTATAGAGTGAAATTGAATTGTTAAAAAATTTGGTGTTATTCAGGAAAGTTGTTTTAGATTGAAAATATATATTTACTCTGAATTTTAAATATGTTAAGAACTAACTACTGACTCGAGCCCAGCCGTACAGTGAACTGTTGCGAATAAATCTAACTTGTGTTTCGCGCGCTCATATGATCGTATGCAGTTGCGAGCGCCATAAAATTCCATACTAAAAAAAAAGATTAAAAAAACGCCACTGTGGACTGTTTCTCTTGCCCATTCATAAAGTCGAACCGATCACAATGCATTCCAAAATTTAGGCCATTCTCTCCCCTCTCTAATGCGCATGAATATCTAGAACATGTAAACAAAGCGAAACTTTTCGCATCTATACCTTTTTCGGGTTTTTTAGCACAATCTTGTATCGCCTTTCTGCCCTGCGCAAACCTAGGTCTCATTTCTTGAAAATTATGGCTCTTGGTGATCGTGAATTTGTTTTGAAGATGTAATATAAACACTTCAAAGCTGTTCTTTTAAAGTTGGTTTGTGAGTAGCGAATATGTCAGGTCGTCTCGAAGTGTAGATCTATATATCTATTTGAAGCAGAAACAAACGGAAACTTTCAAGCCGTTGTTCTCAAAACTTTGTTTCTGTACTCTGCTTTACAAAATCACCCATATCTCAAAAACTACTTAAGATACCATAAAAGTTCAAAAAGCATATAATATTGTTCAGAAATTATCTCTGTACATGAAAATGAAAAATAAAAACCCAGGATTCTTCAAAATGCGTCATTTGGTACCTTTCATTAGGCACACACAAATGCCATTCTTTTGAAAATATGAATTAAACTCCAATGCCAGAAAACTCTGATGCAATTATTTTATCGTTGATTTGACAATGGACAACCTTATCTGATGCCTTCTGTTGTTTGCATCTGCAGGAAGAAGTGGCGAATGTTTTGAAAGACACCCTTGAGTCCATCAAAGTCCAGGAGCGAGGCGTCTTTGTGCAGGCGTCCACCCTCGGCTCTCTAGAAGCTCTGCTAGAGTTCCTCAGGACCTCCAAGATTCCCGTGAGTGTCACTGTGTTTGTTTGCCTCAGACATGGACTTTTGTCGTAATATCAGAGGCCATGCACTCTGATACAATTCTGGTTTACTGTGGAACAAACTATTTGACTCAGTTTGAGCAAGATGAAGGGGGGAGTTGGAGGAGGGGGTGTTCCCATGTGCATTTCACTATAGTGAGGCTTAAGTTTTGCCTTCATTTTGACATCCATGGTGTGTTTGCTGGGCCGAGAAGTTTTTGTAGAGATCAAAGAGTGGCTGCCAAGACAGTACTTGGCCCAGGATATTATAATGCAAGTCTCTGACCTCAGAGAACATCATGTCTTCAAGTAGTTTCCTCATTTGATCAACTTTCAAGTGAAGTCCACACCTTCATTGTGGGTACCTGTGTGCTCAGCCCTACACATTACATTACTTAACCATATGCGATTGTTAAAGTGTAGCTTCCTCAATTCTAATTCTTGATCTTATCAGTCTTGCTGTTAACAATGTTGCACACCAAACTCTTTGGTGCTTTGCATAGGTTCTTTTTCTTCTTAGCAGTTCCCTGCTATATCTCAGGACTGCTGGTTCTTCAGCCTGCAGTGCAACTGATTTTTTAAAGTGGCGTCGGTGGCCTAGTGGTTAGGCTCTCGGACTCGCAACCGTAAGGTCGTGGGTTCGAATCCCGTCAGGGACCCGACGTTGTGTCCTTGGGAAAGGCACTTTACACGAATTTTCCTCACTTCACCCAGGTGGGAATGGGTACCCGGCTATAGACAGCGAAAGATCTTGTCAGTATGTTAGTGTTTGAGCGCTTAATCAGCTGCTTGCACTGTATGCTTCCCGGGAAGCTGAGCATGTTTCGGAGTGTTCTATGGTCTGCTGGGGTAATAATATAGTGTAAAGTGCATAGAGCCTGCTGTTGAGCGGGGATATGCGCTATACAAATGCTATCTATTATTATTATTATTATTATGTATGTGACCATTTGTACAACTGCATAGGGCCCCTTGCCTTCAGGCAGCCACATTCCAATTTCAAAGGTACTCCATTTTTCTTTACTGACTAGAGTTTTTTCAGTTTTCATTTGGTAGGAATTAATTTTAGATTTTGCACGAGTGGCAACTGAAGCGTAGACTTATCAATGTTAGGACTACCAAGGGATCTTAAACATGTGCAACTTGCACCTGTGACCTGGGACTTTTTTCGCACTTATCCAAGAAGGCTAGGTGTTTTATCTTACCTACCATTAAGATCAGGGTTGTGGCTGAAAGACAGAAGTAAGAAGGAGCTAGGAGTAGCAGTAAAAAGAGTCAGGATTAAAGGAGAGAGGAAACCAGGGGATGGGGTTGGAGGGGGGGGGGGGCCATGAAAGCAAATGACAGAACATGACTAGAGAACAGGACCGACAGTGAGAAGAGAAAATTTAAGAGATGAAAAATATTTTGTTTTGTCACGGTCAGGATTTGAACTCAGGACCTTTTGAATGAGAGGCGAACATCTCTAGACCACGGAAAAAAACAACATAAAAGTTCTTGGCTTTGCCTCTGTTATTTCTTCTTCCTGACTACCATGCTCTTTACCAACACTGTTTGACCATTATTTTGTTGATACTTCTTTCTACTTAAAAACTAGATTAGAATAGCGAGAGGTTGAAGGGTGCCTCTGGTGTATTCTACAGAATATGTTGTTTCTGTCTGTCTATCTTGCTTTTTTTCTCCTCAAGTTAAATGACTGCTATTGTGTCAATATAATGGTTTTGTCTACTCAAATACCTTGTTAACGTAAAGTAGATTAAAGTGTCTTGTATCTGTTTATCCTTAGTACGCTGGCATAAGCATTGGACCAGTGCATAAGAAGGACATCATGAGGGCATCTGTAATGTTGGAGCATGACTCACAGTAAGTCATTGTTTTTGTTGCTGTTTTTTTTTTTCCTCATCAAATTTAGAGCCTGACCATTGTTAAACTGTTTTGAGGGGTGTCTTCTGTCTCGAATTGTTAGCCTCATGATGATCTTTTGGGAAATCCCATAGATCTAGTTAAAGATTTCTAATGTGTTTTTTTTGGTTTCTTATTTTGCTTCGTTCATGATGCTAGATATCTTGCTTTTTCAGCCTTAGATTCAAATGATTTTAAACATGTCTCATTAAACATAAAGTGCAGCGCCTTTAAGGTATCCATATGCTGAGTCTTTTTAATGGGCTTTCATTTTAGTCTGTAGTTTTACTCAGTTTTTTTGTTTGGGCTATTTTGATATTTGCCCAAACAGTTTGCAGTGTCAGTCCTGTTTTTGTTTTTTTTCAACCTTGAACTACAAAAAAAGCAACTCTTGTGAGTGACATGCTGACCAGTCCTCCAATTTTTCTGAATTTTTCTGAAAAGTCTAGTCTATTTGTGATCATGCGCCAAAGGATCCGAGTTGTGAAAAGGAAGAGAATACACCCCGCCTTCCCACCCACATGCGCTCTGCAGTAAGATTTTATTTAATCATATTATTTCCGTCTGTTGACTGTGATTCTATGTCCCCCCCTCAGCTGGGGCAGGCCTTGTCTGACAGACAGGGTCAAAACATGTATACTTCTCAGATGGGAGCAAAATAAAAGTACTAAAGAAGCAATACGGAGAAATGAAATAGCAAAAACACAAGTTGTGAAAAAAAAAAACAAGGCAAATTCAAAATTTTTTTAATACACTGCAGTAGTTTGGCATAATTATAATACCCCTTGGGCTAATGCGTGTGTAGTTCCCCATCCCTCCCTCCACCTTTTTTTTTCCACTCATACGCCTCCACCCCTATAAATCCTTTTTTTCTCCACCCCGTATCAGGTATGCTGTGATCCTTGCCTTCGACGTGCGTGTGGAGAGAGACGCCCAGGAGATGGCGGACACGCTGGGCGTGCGCATCTTCACGGCGGACATCATCTACCACTTGTTCGATGCCTTCACCAAGTACCGGGAGGAGCTGAAACGCCGACGCCAAGAGGAGTTCAAGCACATTGCCGTGTTCCCGTGCAAGCTGCGCGTGCTGCCGCAGTACATCTTCAACTCTCGCGACCCTATCGTTATGGGCGTCAACGTGGAGGCGGGGTTCCTCAAAGAGGGCACCCCTATCTGCGTGCCTTCCAAGGAGGTGAGTTGGGGGTTAAGGTTTATAATGATGGGGTTGTTTCAGGTTTTTTTTTGGTATGGGGTTTTTTTTGTTGTTTAATTCCGGGGTGTTTTGTTTTGGGTTTTTTGGTGGGGGGGGGAATGGGATGCAAGCTGTGAGAACTAATTTAGGAAGTAATATGTTGTTCCTGTGTGGTTTGTATATTATGTAATATATATTTATGGTGTCCCAATCATGTGATGGTTTTGAGGAAATTGTTTGAATTGCAATAACAATTTGGTTTCTCCGTACCATGTCTGAGCACACCACCTTCCTTATCATGACCTTCCCTTCTTTGTGTGCTACACACCCGTGCCCCCACCCCTGCCTCCATTTCTGTACTCCTAATTTTGGAGTGTTGTTTTGCCTCAGAGAGATTTTTTTGAGTTTTTTTTTTTTAATATAATGTCTGAAAATAAGACTGGTAGTGTTCTTATTGTAAGGCTTGTGGTCACGTGCAGTGCTTGCTCGAGATTATCAACATGGTTGACACAAGTGCACAACAAGTTTGGCAAGGTATGAGGGTGGTATTATTTCTATTTAGGGTCTGTGTAAGAGGAGTGCATGGCGCCCATGGTCTTCTTTAATCTTTTGTTCCGTTTGTACATCATCATCATCATCATCATCATCATCATCATCATATTTATTATTATTACTATTAACACTATCTATTACAACTAGTGCAATACCCCATTTTACCCATGGAACAAGATTTAAGTGGGTGGTTGGCGAGTGCTCTGGTGTGGTTTGCTTCTTCTTTCTTATCAAACTTCTATCGTCCTTATCCCCCCCAGGCAGTGCCATCGACTGTAGTGTCTTTAGGCATTTCCCAAAGGGGGGACATTTCTCGTTCATGCACAGTAAAATTGTAAATGGGCTGATTCATCGGTCACGCTCATAACTGTGTCTGATCTACAACAGGGAACTGCTGCTTTTTCTTTCCTAATCCTTACAATTGTCATTTTCCTCTACTTCTTTTGTATGTTTGTCACACTCTTGTGACCTGCTATTTCCGGGGTGCCTTGATAGTCGAAGCAGACTTTGTGCTGTTGAAGCTAGAGAGGTGAGCAGAGTAAATGTTTGTTACTCTCTTGTATCACCTCTAATCTTCCGGCGTTCATATGACCTTATGCAGTTGAGTTGTGGGCGCCACAAAACCTCTACTAAAAGTAAACTATAAACAAGATCTAATTAGCATTGAAGAGACTGCAGACTATATTAAAATATTTTTGTCTCTGTTGTATCAAAATAATAATGTAATTTCTTTTTTTCTCTTTCCATCTTTTTTATTCACTTTTCTAAATCAGCCATTATGTCTCTATCTTCTTTTTTCCCTCTATTTCCGCCTTCTCTCTCCTCTTCCTAGTGGTGATTTGAACCCGTCTCCCCCGTGACAGGCAGAGGTACTTACCACTATCCTACGGATGACACACTCATCTTATACAAAATCATCTAGGATATTGTTTATTTAATTATGTGGCGAGCGAAGCTGCATGACTGTATGGAGTAGCCACCGTATGATAGTATCGGGTGGGTGGTTAGTGGGTGCTCTGGTGGGGTTTGGTCCTTCTTTGCTATCAAACATATATCGTCCTTATATCTCCTCTTCCTTTTTTTTGTGTTTGTTATTCTCTTTTAACACATCTAATCTTTGTTTGACCGTGTTGTGTTGCAAGTGGGCATTATTTTGTTGCAAGTGCAGTAAAACTGACAGCATCGATATACATATTCAAATTCCTTATCCTGAGTACGTGCAAATGGATCTAAAATAGTAACAGGCCAGTGTATTTGAAAGCCATCTTCATAGATAGGTCTAGAAACTGCGGGTGCTGTTGCGTGTCTTGCCCCTTTCCTATCAAACACCTATCGTCTTTATCTCCTCTCCTTCTTTTTTGTGTTTGTTACTCTCTTATGACACTTCTAGTCTCCGGCACTTATATATATATGACCTTATTGTGTTGCAAGTTCCGTAAAACACTAACTAAAACAAAACAGCAGCTTTGTTGCCTTGTTTTTCCCAGGGGTTTTTTGTATACCTCCTCCTCTTTTTTCCAACCTCCATATCACGACAAAAATAAATATTGCAACAAAATAGTTATGTAATCAAGCTCGTTACCCCACTAAATCCTCTTTCTTACCCAAGGTGCATTGTGTTGCACCGGAAACGCTACTCATGATCATGATAACACAAAAGTAACGTTTCCTTCTATTGTGTAGTTAACACACTCTAGCTCTGTGCACAATGTGCACTTACTGAGTCGTTGGTTATTGGGTTTGACAAGCATTTTCATTTCATGTTGTCGATGATAACACGTCACGTAGTATTGGGCCTGCCATCGGGCTGAAATTGTCTTCAATTGAGTAGTCTATTGCTTCGATCTCTTTCCACATTAGTATCGATTCCACGGCGTTTTAAAGCAAAAGTAGCTAATTCGCAATAAATTTTGGAGGTGGACCTTATCCGTGGTGTTTTGTTCTTTGGTCTTACATCAAAAGGCGGATTATCGGTAGCTATTCCCGGAAGCGCCCTGGCTGACCACAATAATCCAAAAAGCATGGAGGGGAGGAAAGTCCCGGTAGACTGGCAACTTGCAGTTGTGTTACCAAGAAAGACTTCTGCTCGTATGGAGGAATTTCCCCCCTGAGCCCTACGGGCAAGATGTACGCAAAAGTCTTGGAAAAGCGTACAATTCGCAAGGTGGAACCATCACTGAATGGGGCACAGATGGGCTTCAGAAAAGGGAGAGAGTGCAAAGACGCTATCTTCGCTCTCAGACAACTGAGTGAAAGGCCAATTGAACACAACAAAGAACTGAAACTTGTATTTGCAGACCAGGAAAAAACGTTTGACAGAGTTGACAGAAACAAAGGCAAACACTGGAAAAGTACAGCATCTGGGGACAACTGTTGGACAACATCATGGCCTTTAACACCATCAGTATGAGCACAGTCCGCTCCCAAAACGGACTTACTGACTGGTTGGACGCGTCATCCAGATTGAGACAAGGATGTATGTTATCACCTCTACTTTTCATCATATACTTGGACAAAGTTACAAAGGAAGCAAACCCCAACCCGAAAGATGTGAATGAAATGCTGTTTGTGGACGACCAAAACCTAGCATATGAGAATGAAGAGCAACTTCAAGAGCACACAGGCAGGCTGAATGCACAGTGTGAAAAACTCAACGTGAAGATCAGGGAAAGAAAAACCTAGACAATGAAAGTCAGCATTGGCAACCTCAACATCAGCATCGACCGAACTCCACGCCGAAACAAGTCAACGAGATCATATGTCTTGGCAGTATCTTCTCGGAAGATGGACGTCTCAACTGAGAAATTGAGAGGAGAGTATAAAGGGCTAACAGAACATCGTCAGTTTCCAGCTTGTTCCACTCCTTCAACATCCCCATTAAGAGCAAAGCCTAGCTCATTAACTCTATCTCCATCTCCACTTTGATCTACCTTTGCCAGACATAGACCTTGACCAAAAGTCTGAAATGTAAGATAACTACCTGCGAGATGAGATGTCTATCGAGAGCCGGTAACAAAACCAGATGGGATATGATCCAAAACAACAGGATCAAAGAAATGATGGGAACTACACCTGCCCCCCCCCCCCCCAACTACATTCAGATGCAAACAGTCAGGTGGTTTGGGCATCGAACACGTGTGGCTCCTCACCGGCTAGTCATTAGGCCTAAAGCGTACTACAAAAAATATCAGGGTGCAAGGCAAGAGGAAGATCTGGATCGAAGGTGTAAAGGATACCCTGAAAACACACAACACCCCCCCCCCCCCCCCTGCCAGGCCATCCAACGTGCTAGAAACAGTCCTAGAGATACTGGAGGAAGGAGAAAGTAAAGTAAGTAAAGTAACTTACCCTGGCCAGTCCATGATAAGGCCAATATAATTCTAGATCTAGCTAGAGCTAGATTATATTATATGGGTGTGGTTGGCGGATGCCCTTTCTCTTTTTTTCTTATCAAACAGATATCGTCCTGTTCTCTCCTCCTTTTTTTGTGTGTGTTTGTTGTTACTCTCTTGTAACACCTCTAATCTTCGGCCCTTATAAGACTTTATTGTGTTGCGAGTGCCGTTAAACTTCTACTAAAACTAAAAATTCAGATTTTGTAATAAAGATCGTTTGATTTATTTCGCCGATTTCGGTTCAGTAGGTCCAGATCTAGATTCGACTCGGCGATAGCGTCGCTGCGCTTTTCCCTTTAGTCAACCCGCAACCACATCCCGAATCGTCAGCCATATCCCAACCTTTGACTCGGGTCAAACTTCAGTCTATTTATAGGTAGTTAGATCTACCGGAACATGTATTAGGCGAAATGATGTGCAATGATAGTCGCAATAGAGAGATTGTTTTGGTCCCTTTTTACTCATCTGCACCACACAAATTTGTTTATGTTTTTCCATGGACTCTGCCTTTACTAAAGTCTCGAATCTAGATCTAGTTGTAATCTAGTTGCAGGTTGCAGATTTCATAAATTGCCGACAGAGGGAGAGAGAGAGGGGGGGGGGGAGTCACAGAATTCTACACTTATAGAACGGGAACTGTACCACGTGACCTGTGAGGAATTGAAGACCGAAAACAATGGCGTACCTGATGGCGCTTAAATGACCAAAATTGTGTCGATAGTGCCGTAAAACATCTACCCAATCAATCATTAAAAAACAATGGCGTCTTGAGGGCACGATTTATCGTTTTCGGAAGTAACCCTATAGGTTTTAAAGCAAGAGCGGCTTTTACAAACGAGTGAAAAGTGGAATATTTACTGTCCAGTTTGTAATTTTGAGTTACAGAATTCACTGTGCAACTAGAGATTGGAATTATGGTTTTAAATTGTTGTGTTTTTGGGTGCAACAACAGAAAAAGCAGACATAGAGAGTTTATAAATATAACTTGGAGTAACTATTAATAGGAGAGGCCGCGAGTCGCGTAACGTGAAGCCGCAGCAGACGACGGTCGGC